TCATCAGATACCTTAACAATATCACTTAAAAAAAAACCAAAGCCATACGTCGCTTATATGAATAAAAGAATTATATTTTTTGCATCTCTATATGATTATTAACGTTATTCTTCTAGTGAAATTTATTGAAATTATTCAAATATCCCTTAGAAGGAACATTGGGTTCTTAAGGGTTAAGATTTGTCTCTATGCAAAGTTTCAAATCGAAATAATCTAACAGATATTTGCACGAAAGATTGAATTATTATTTCAATTTATAGTTTTCTGTTTCTTTTTTATCATGTACTTTTCTAAATTTGTATTTTAGCAAGTGTTATGTTTGCATTTATTGATCGTTCAATTGTAAAAAAAGTTGTAAACTTTTTACCTCGAGTTGGTGTTGGTGGTCGTTATGGTTTACCACAACAACGGTTAGAATAATTATTTGATAATATTTATTTTTCTATTAATTTTATTTAGACGAACATCATTAAGCATCAGCAAAACAATTATTTCGTTCAGCAAATATGACTCAACGATGGCAAAGACGAGAAATTTCAAATTTTGAATATCTTATTTATCTAAACAAGATTTAAATCAATATCCTGTATTTCCATGGATTATAGCTGATTATGAAAGTGAAAAACTTGATTTAAATTCTCCATCAACTTATCGAGATTTATCAAAAGTAAAATTTAAATTATTTTTATTATCTATACTTGATTTATTTTTCTTTAGCCAATTGGTGCATTAAATCCTACAAGAAAATCATTTTTTATTGAACGTTATAATAATTGGGAATCTTATACAATACCACAATTTCATTATGGTACACATTATTCAACAGTTGCATTTACACTTGGTTGGCTTATTTGACTTGTTAGTTCGAATATAATTATATTTAATGAATCGAATAGTTTTCTTTTTTGTTTTAGGAACCATTTACAACATTTTATATAAATTTAAAAGAAGGAAAATTAGATCATGCTAATCGATTATTTCATTCAATACCATTATCATGGCAAAATTGTCAACGTGATTCATCAGATGTTAAAGAATTAATACCGGAATTTTTTTCTCTACCTGAAATGTTAACAAATTGTAATTATTATAAATTAGAACGAACTGAAGATGGAATTAAAGTTGATGATGTTATTTTACCTAAATGGGCACAAACACCAGAAGATTTTATTCAAATTAATCGAACAGTAATAAAAAAAAACAAGAGAAATTTTTTTGAAGAAATAAAAAAAAAATTCTTTTTTTTAGGCATTAGAATCTGAATTTGTTTCATGTCATTTACATCATTGGATTGATTTCATTTTTGGTTATAAACAAAGAGGTTTATTTATAAAAGATTAATATTATTTTAATAATATATATATTTTTTTTGTTTTTAGGACCTGAAGCTGTTCGTGCTGTTAATGTTTTTTATTATTTAACATATGAATGTACTGTTAATCTTGATTCAATAACAAATCCAACAGATCGTGCTGCTATTGAAACACAAATAAGAAATTTTGGTCAAGCACCAGCACAACTTTTAACTGAACCACATCCATCAAGAAATTCAGCAATGAATTTAGTAAGACGAAATAAAAAACAATAAACACTTTATTTGTTTTTTTGTCTATTTTACACTCCAATGATGTATAATGTGTAAGTAGTTTGTTTTTCTCAATAAAAGAAAAAAAATAATTTAAATATTTTAGTACACCAGAAGATGTATCAATGATAATGAAATTTTCATAAAATGCACCTATTATTCATGTTTCTGCTAATACAAATCCAACACTTTCTATACAAGCTATTATTACAATTAGTAATAAACATGATTTTTCTATAAATAAATATCATCCAAATGCTAGTACACCAACATAAACTTATTCTGAATCATCACAAACATCAATACATCAACAAACACAGTTACCATTAAGCATGGATTCAATATTAGGTAGATTAATTCTATAGTTAAACTTATTATAAATATTAATTTGAATAATAATTATTCAATATTCAAAAATAAAATAACAATAAGAATATCTTTTTTCTTTAATTTAGTATCAAATATAAATTTAAATCATCGTCATTTGAGTGATAGTTTTGATGAACGTATTCAACAACGACATCAAAGTTTTGTTGTTACTGCTGATAATCGTTATATAATATCAACTGGTTATTGGGATAAAAGTTTTCGTGTACAAAATACTGATATAGCTAAAATTACACAAGTACTCTATGGTCATTTTGATATTGTTACATGTGTATGTCGTTCGGAAGTAACTATTGCTGGAAATTGTTTTCTTGCAACTGGTTCACGTGATTGTACAGTCTGTATTTGGATATGGAATGGTACAAAAGGTGCAATAGTTGATCGTGAATATCCAAATCAAGGTTATAATTAAATTTAAAAAAAAATCAATATATCATAACTAGCGAGAGCCCATGCATACACTGCTTGGTTGTTTTCTCTTTTCATGTATAACTTAAGACGTTTAACTTTTCATTCAGGAACAGACATACAGACATTCAATATTATGTATGTAGATAGATAGCCCTACGGTCTCATACTCTTATATCGCACGTATTTTTATAGTCCATGTAGCCTTCGGCCTTATCGCTTTATATTCCTTGTAGCTATTGTAGCCTTATCCCCTTGAGAACCTATGGCTATTCCCATATTATAGCTCTTCATGTCCTATAGATATACCATATAATAGCCCTTGAGGACCTATGGATTTCCCTATATAATAGCCCTTAAGGCCTTCCGCTTATAGAATTATTTGACTTTTAACCTTTAACCTTGGATCCTGGGCATAGAGACGTGAGACAGACACTGAACAATATATATATACATAGAGAGATTTTTTTTGTTTTTATATAGAAATCAATCCATCACCAGCAGC